AAGTGTAAACATTCTTCCAGCTAATTGCCCAGCCGCATCCGGAATTTAAATTCCGGCTAAAATCAGCCTTGTTTTCATGTTAAATGAACTGAGCAAATTTATTTATTTTTACAAAAGAATCACTATATCATCTTTGAGGATATTTCATTTTTTTTTTTACTGGTTTTGTTTTTTGTAAAAGCCAAATACATTCTTTTGGATCAGTGAAAATAAGCTTCGAGCATGACTCAAAACATATGACTAGTGTCTTTCTGTCTTTATCAAGTTTTTATTAGCTTCAAGATAAAGCAATCATATTTAAGTGGGAGTGTAGCTGCCTGGCTGTCAGGTCTAACTACCAGTACCCCCCGCCCCGCCAAAATCTCATACCCACCCCTACCCAGATCTTTTGCAAGGGAGGGCTTATAAACATGAATGAAGTTGCATCTATAAAAACACAAAATAATGTGATGATGTAATTTTCTTTCCAACAAACATAACTTCTTATATCTTATTTCAAGGGAAAACATGCCATAGAGTTCTTCCAATTAAAAAAAAAAAAAAAAACTAACATTATAATACATATTTACATTACTTACATGTGCACTATTCTCTTCATCTTTGTTGTTATTATTACAATGTTGTAATAACAACAACAAAGATGAGGATAATAGCCTGGATGTAAATAATGATAACTTCTCATCCCAGACATTCAAACAGAAATTACAATACAAAGACAATTTGGTACCATTTTTTTCTCCTATAGATTACTACACAAACAGTTGAAAAAAATTATGGTAATAGCACCTCCAAAGTAAAACTGCTCTCTTAGTCAAAGATATTTCTTTTTGCCTTACATCAATATGGCTGAAGCTAACTTCCAGGAGGGTGACTCGGTGCTTCTCAGGTTGACATTTTGCACAGACATGAAGTGGCATGATCATATTGAATCTATTGCTAGGTTTGCTCCTAGGAAAATTGGTTCAGTGTTGTGTTAAACAATTTTCCTCAAAAGAATCTATCTATTATACTTTTATAAGTCCATCATTAACCCATGTATTAAATATTGCTGCAAAATCTGTTCTGGTGCTTCTATGTACTTAGAGATTTGGGATAAAATCTAAAGAAAAATATGAAATGTTATCAGTCCTGATCTGGCACCTTGATTTCATATACTTTCTCACTACTATAATGTAGCTTTTCTATGAATATTTTCATGGTAATTATTCTGAAGAGATTTCTGCTTTTGTATGTAGAATTTATGAATTTAAGTGCAGTACTAGATTGGCAGCTAGGTCTCATCAGTTTACTGTTGAAACTGTTAGATGTAATCATAAGTTCTATGCTAAAAATTTCTTCTCTTGCACTTCTTACTTGTGGAACTCTTCTGGCTTCTTGCTTTCCAATCAACTTTGTGTTGTGTTCCATGTCGTCTCTAGGTCCCCTACTACATAAAATGGTATTAATGAAAAGGAAAATTTCTTTTGCTTGGTGGCTTGGGTTCTAAGAAGCAACAGGAGGAATGACGTAACAGTAATGCATGTCACTCATTGACCTAGCGTCCCTTCACATGTGGTCTTAGCTGATCTCTCGAACCTGGGTGTGGGAAGCATATCAACACTTCAAAATTCTTGTGGAGCCCTCTGTTGAATTCATGGACAAAGGCAATCTATCACTCAGAACACCACGCCCATGAGGTACTCTGGCCAATCTCTGACCATTCCAGCCCTGGCCTTCATATTCTGTAACATTTGATCTTCAAACATTTTAATGCTATGTCAATCATCATATTCTGTCTCCTTAGTTCCTGTTCTTTTATTGTTCTCTTTTTAATGTTTTTTTTTTTCTCATATTCTTTCACATTCAGTAACTGTTTGCATCTTACTGGCTTTATTGCCTTGCTTGAAATGAAATGATTAAAAAAAAATTTTTTCTACTCTATAATAGTTAGGTAGAATGTCAAATTTTAATTGCAGTCATTAATTCCATTAGAATCCTTAAAAAGGCAGGTTCAGCACATGTAGATTTTCATTGGTTTTATTACCATAATAAAAAGTTATAAGTATTTAAAGATTTTAAAATGGAATTTTAAAACCAATTACTGACAGATTTTGACAAGTGCTGCCACTTGTCCAAAGATTACAGAGTTTAATGGTAAGGTGTATAGTTAATTATTTGAGAGGCTCCAACCGAGGCAAGATATTTGCACTTCCAAAAAACTGTTCTTCTATCTATATCTATCTATCTATTATCAAGTGCAGCCAAGATCCTAAAGTCTTTAGGGATGCCATGATCGTTTTATTGGCTGCATAATATATACTTTACCAAGACTACATAGTTTTGAATTCAGAATTGTGCTTCTCTTTGACTGATTCTCAACCACTGCTAGAGAACCAGTCTGCCTTGATATTTAACCCTTATCTAGGGAGGAGAAGTGATTAACTCATATATTTCCTAAGAGTATTTGTGCGAAAGTGAATATAACAAACTCAAAACTGAATTTGAACATAACTTGTGGATTTCTCATTCCAACCAAATAACGTCACCTGCACATCCAAACATAAAACTACTTTATTTCTGATAAGATAAATAAAATAACAAGCCTCTAAAACATGTGATTTATTTAAAAGGACAATATTTTAAAATGAAGATAAATCTATTCTTTAATACAATTTTTTTAGTTTTTTCTGTTACTCTTTCAAAATGTTTAGTTGACCAGATTTCTTGTGAAGAGACTAATGAAAGCGGTTTTACTCAACAAAGAAATAAAAATGTACCAACATGACATCTGAGCAATTGATGAAGGAAGATGGTGATCTTTGAAAAAAAAAAAAAAAAAAAAAAAAAGAAAGAAAGGATTAAAATCTGCAAAGAATTGTTTAATTTCTCTTTGTATTGCCTATAAATGGAAAAATGGTATTGTGAGAGACTGGATTAAACAAACATGTCTACACAAGTTAAACAAAGTCCTTTAACATCAGCTTCACAATTATAAGAGGTCCCAGGAAATCAAAGAAGAAACAACTATACATCTATTCTTTCATTGATTAATTGATCTGACTGATAGTAAGAAAAGGATGATACTAAGAAACAGATATATTTGTGATTTAAGGAAAGAAAATGTGATAAATACTAAAATGAACGAGATCAATAGAAGAATGAAAGAAAATTATAAAAGACTTTCTTTTTAATCATTTTTTTGTGCCTTGGTTGGAAGAAAGTCAACTCTGAATTCAAAACCTGTTTGAAAATTTTAAGACATACTCTGCACTTGTTCTGTGTAATTAGATCTTCTGAAAAGTGTGGCTGGTTCTGCACAAGCGTTCACCACTATAATCAGATCACATGTGTAGTTCAGTTCTACAAAACGTATTGTTAGGCCCTTATATGCTGTAATCAACAGGAGGGTACTGTCATATATATATATATATAAAATAAATAAATGGTAATACTCCTATACCTATAAACATAGTACTACCCTGTCCACTTATTTATGGAAGATTAAACAGGAAGACAATAATGATCCCATTTTAAAATGTGAAATATTAAAAACAAATGTTATAAATATAAGGCAGGCAATAAATTTTGTTCACTATGCATGGAGGAAAAGCTAGCTATCGCTACCCATAAAGGACCCAAAAATTTATTAAACCAAAAATCGGAAATTCTTAGTAGGTGCCGACATAAGAAAAGCTGGTTATTAGATTAACATGTTGTAGGGTTTGTTTTTTTTTTTTGTTTGTCATGTGGTCATGGTTTTATGTGGTTTTATTAATATATATTGTTCCATTATTTGTCTTTTTAGCCAGTTTTACCCTGAAGATCCCTTTAAGTGTAACCTAGGTTTACCTGGTTCCTTAGGATTATCACTTGATAAGATACCAGAAGTGTTAAAACAAAACGGCTATTTTTGTAGTGATTTTATAAGATATTTATGTTATAATTTTCGAATAAATAATTATATATATGATAAAATATAGTTTTAAGGTATGCTATATGTATGCTTCTATCAATATTTTAACTCATCTATTTATTTGACATTTGTCATAGTCAACATTAATCAAATTTTGAATTAGTGATTTTTGTCTATTACTAAAAGGTGACAAATCATTATTTTTACTTTGTAAAAACTTGGTTAAGTTTATGTATTAACCCTAGAACACTAACCATCAATTAAAGTTACACCACTACTAACCATGGCTATATCATACCCGATTTTGAAAATATCAAAAAAAATATTAAATATAAATCTTTATTTGAAATATTTTACAGGCAGGCACTTCAAACTTTGTACTTTGAGTTAACATTAATAGGAACTGAAAAACATTATTTAGGTAAGAAAATCAGGTACTGAAAATAGTAATTAAAAAAAGGAAAATTTGTGCTCGGTACTATATACACATGGTTAGTGTTCTAGGGTTAAATACTAATATCCAGTATTCAGATCAATATTGACTGTGCCAGTCATTAAAATTTGTGAATAACTGACAAAGTAGTCAAAACATTAGCATAGTTCAACTATGGGAATGAAATCAGTTTCTGAGAAGAGGAGGAGGAGGAATTGTTGTTGTAGTAGTAGTAATAATCATCATGATTATTATTATTATTATTTGCATTTGAATAGTCTCCTTCATCTTTGTTGTTATCATCACACTGTTCCAGCCTCTGATTTTCTTCAGGTATCTGTTAATCTGAGTAACCTTTAGGGAATCTAGAACTATTCTTGTTCTGCTGTTCACGTCTAAGGATATCTCGTCTTCATTTTTTAGTACTGCTCAGTTATTGCTCGCTTTGTTTCCACTGAATCTAAGTCTATACTACTCAACTCAAGGATTGAACTCACAATGACTATATCATTAAATTCATGAACCAATGTTTTAATCCTCTATACCATTGACAGAAACCTGAAGACTAGAGAGCACTATAGCCAAAACATTGGTGATAACAGCAACAACAAAGATGAAATCCTTCATCTGAGTGAAATCAAGTTTGAAATTCGGTAAAAGTAAAATGTTAAATACCATCTTGGTTTCCCCAATCCCAATCAGCTCCTCGAAGTACTTTTGCTCCTGTAAATATTCCCCAGGTTTCAATTTTGACACTGTTCGCCCTCTTCACCATCTTTACACTGAAAAAGAAAAAGAAACAATACAGTTTTGTAAATTACTATATCTGATATTAACATGGCAGCAAATATTCTTTTGAACTTATTTGTTAAAAATGAATCTAACAATATTTTTATTTTTTTTTAACATTTGCAAATGAGTAATCTTATTTTTCTTTTATGCAAACACTAACCTATCTTTCCTTCTCTCTTTTCCTCTCCCTCACTTTCACACACAGATTCCAATATCACTTTATGGTGTTCCAATGATGATAAAAAAAATGTAATGTACAGTAAGATGTTGAAATGGAAATTGCATAGAAATCACACTAGATCAGGCATGGACAACCTTTCTGAGACACAAGATCTATGGCGTATCACAAGATGGGTTACACTACTAAAAAGATTCAAGGTAATTTTTAGTAGTAGGCACCTTAGCAATTTTCACTACAGAAGACAATATATGTAAGCATATACCTTAGACATGTGAGAGAAGTTGATTTTTTTTCTTTGCAGAAAAGAATTTTTTATAATTAAAAAATTAATGTCTTGATATAATATTATCACATATGACAATGTGATTAACATATCTCACTGCATGTGATTTGTTTCTAGTTTATTCATTTGAAAATAAAAATATATTTCTTCTTGAGAGAAAAAATTATTATGAATGTTTCACATTTCCAAAGCAAAAAGATGCTTACATGTATGGTCTTCCATAGTAAAAATAGCCAATGGTTTAAAAAGATGAAAAACATTACTTTCACCAAAAGTTTACAAAATTCAAAAAACATTGTACCTAATCATTGTTTATGTATCTGGTTATGTATGAGAGAGTGTGTGAATGAACAAGTGAGAATGAAACAAAGCAAAATTTTAAGAAACATTATTTTCATTACAAAATTAAGCCTGCCATTCAGAAAGACCAAATGGACTGCATGCAGGTTGTTAGATGCACTAGACCAGAAATGACGGACAGAGAATCAAAGAAAAAAGAGAGAAGAAAAGGTTGTACTGTTCATCATCATATTCATTCATTTTTATGACCTGTACAAAGTTTGAGTCTTGATGCTAATATCATCATCATTATTCGACAATCCCTTTCTATGCTCTTTGGTCCTGCATTGCTGTCCTTAATGTCCAACCCTGAGTCCCAAGCTGTGGTGCCTGAGAAAGTCAATTTTCATGAAAAGACACTTCCAGAAGGATGCCATAGGAGTAAGGATGAGATGATTTCCCTGTCCGCTTGGTGGCAGTGGCCAGCAAACTGTAATTGTTTTTGTTTAAGAGAGAATGGTCTCAGTTCTCCATAAATTGTGTTAAGCGTTGCATGGGAACTCCAACTGATGTTCTGGATTTTCCTAAGTAGACTTGTATATGTTCCATCCAGTCATCTTTCAAAACAAGTAGATAATATCCAAGTTTCTGATCCATGCAGTAGGACTGGTTGAATCAATGAATAATCATAATATGCACACAGATGCACAAACTGACAGACCGACACTCATAAATTTTGAACTTTCAAGGTTAAAAGAAAATATGAAATGTTCATAACCAATGAAAATTGATTCCAGCAGAAAAAAAATCAACGTCACATTATTTGCTAAATTCCATTTGCAAGATTTTCTAAGCAATTTTCTTTTATTATAATTTATACAGCTTTCTAAAGGCAAAATGTGCATTACTTCAAATTTTACATAAAAGTCTAATAGCACTTTTTAAATTTTATATACATTTTCCTAACAAGTTTATATATCTTTGGATATGTTGACACGAAACTTATATTTACTGCTGCTTTTTGCAACTAAAAAAAAAAAAATACAAAGTTTAAATCCCAAGAATCAAATCCATTACATGAATATTTCTGAAATCACATGGAAAGACATTTTATTTCCTTCATTCACAAACAATGATTTTTTTTAAGAGAATTACACAAAGAAACTTTAAAAAAATTAACTATTTATCACTTTTAGCTTTTTTTTTCTTTTTTTTTCTTTTTTTAAGCAAATCACCCCAAGCAAGGCGATAATGAAAGTAAGAATAAAGAGGAGTGTTTGGTAAAACAGCAAAGAGAAGGACAGAGATCAAGGCATCAGAAGATGTCTATTGACATTACATTTGAATATTTGAAGATTATAGCTATCAGGGAAGCAAGTGATAGAAAAAGAGTTCCATCGACAGGAGGTGAGAGATAAGATGTTGTAGAAGAGATGGCTATATTTAGCTGTTTCGACTGTGAAAGGGTGAGACCAAGATGCACCTAGTGAGTATTCAACTCACTATAAAGTAGTAATGGTCTTTTAGTGATATTTCCTCTAGTGGAAAAAGAGTTGGAGAATTGACCATCCAAAAGTTATGATGTGGAAAGAAGTCTGAAATCAAAATCCCAACAACATGATCAAAGTCTTCTTATCTATGCAAAGTCTTAGAAACTACATTATAGATTCATTTAAATACGCATTTTTATAACACACGAGATAGACTAATTGTGTGTACAGAAAAATCAGCCAATAATTGACTGAAATTGTCACAGAATTTTTTTTTTATTGTATACTTTCTTAAAACTTTTATAGCTAGCCTTTTTCTGAAAAGAAAAACAATAAAGTCTATCTCATTAAAATTGTATAGACGTGTCAATATGTTATGAAAATGCTTATGTATAATATTTGTCATTTTTCAGAAAAAGATTGAGTATAAAAAGTTAAGATTTTAAGAAATTATAATTTAAAACAAAAATTCTGTAGATCTTCTGCAATTAGTTATTTAGAGTTAATTAATGGCTGATCTTCTGAAAACCAAGAAAGAAAAAATATATGTATATATATTTTAAAGGAGTCTACAATCCTAAGAAGAATTCTGTTAATGCTTAAGTCATAGAAAAAAAACAGAATATTCTATAAGACTCTTTCATAAAGTAAACAATCTATTTGATATTGTTATCAATAAGAAAAAAACATTGTCAGCATGTCATGCATGAGTTTTTGCCAAGAGGTAAACACTTCATTTGCAGGGATCATACAAACAGAACAGCATGATACTGAAAATATATAATCATCGCACTGTTTAAAACTACTAATATTTTAGGACATTTTTTTTTTTTACTCTGAATATAAATGCATAGACTCAGGGAATGAGATTACAGGTGTTTTTTCTTTTTCTTTTTAAATTTTATGAATTTTTATTTTTATTGATATTTCAATGGCAGAAACATGTTCTAAGAAAAGATGCAAACATCAATGTAGATTTTAAACCATTACTAGTTCATGTCAACTGAGGAGAAGGTTGAACTGTTGAAATAAATTTAACCAAAGTATGTGTGTACATTATGATTCAGGTACTGCTTTGCTGAAAGTCTGTTGTTGGATGTAGGCCTCCTTCCCAGATTTTATTCATTTAGAGGAATGGGCCAATGTATGTTGGTATGATTGGATATGATATGCTCAGGGGATCATCTCTCTTTTCAATCCATGATCACTCAAGGGCATCTGTGCATGAGTGAATGTAACAAAATTGATTGAAATTCAAACTTGGCTTTTCAGTTTCTCATTTGGAACTGTTATCCATTACCCCACCCACAGATTGAAGCTTACAACACCTGATATTCTTAATCAGTTACCCATCTAGGTACTGACTGGGCTCAATGTTTGATTTTAACTTTGGTGATCATATGAGAACAGGTGTTTCAATGTGATATGGCCCATAAGCTTGCTAAGTGTCAATGATGTTAAAAAAATAAATAGAAATAAAATCAAAAAATTCTATGTCAGCACTAATTCCAAGAAAAAAAAATAAGATAAGAAAAAATGATGGAAGCATCTGAAAAGGGTTGCTGAAGTAGTACTTACTTTTCCCCTCTGAGATGAGGTCCAGATAATTAATTCAGAGGTAAGGAGTGGGGAGTTAAAAGAGGTTACATATATTAACAGATGCTTAAGTCAGTATAGATGTAGCAAATATCCCAAAGAGTCAAATGTGTCTGAGTTCACTACTCTTGGTAAATCATTGTTGTCCCATATTTTTCTCAAGGAAACTTAGAGATAGATAAGGCTCTATAAAGCCATGGTGAAGGCAATCCATTTAGGAGAAGGAGAACTCCATAATCAAACCAAACCCAAGCTAGATGGCCCCCATGTTTGGAATGCAGGATGTCAGTCTGGTGTTCATGTGCAATACATAATATATATTGTTTTTGAATAAATTCACTAATTCTGCAGGGTGGACCACATTAGAAGAATTTTGGACTAGGGAAAACTACCAGTTAGATTAGTACTGCAACTGCCTATAGAAGCAGTGACTATAGATACATATTAGTCACCAAAAGATAAACCTGACTTCTTTGAGTTAGCTTGTCCAGATAAGTCAGACTGCTATACATCTTAACATTATGTGGTTTTCTTTGCTGAGTAAAGGTGATGGGGGAACTTCCTGATGTATAGTTTGAAATGGCCTGGATGGGCGTATTGTCTACCTGACATTGCTAAGATGAATTCAACTGGTTAGTATATTAATGACCACATTTTCTTTAATTAAAAAAAAAAAAAGGAAAAAAATAGGTTAAAAAAAGATTTTAAAAAAGGAAGAAAAAATAAAATAAAAATTGAAATAAATGGAGAAAGAAAATGGAAAGATGAAAAAGAAAAGGAAAAAATGGAAAGACGAAAAAGTAAAAAGAAAAAATGGAAAGACGAAAAAGTAAAAAGAAAAATGGAAAGACGAAAAAGTAAAAAGAAAAAATGGAAAGATGAAAACGAAAAAAGTAAAATAGAAAAGAAGAAAAAAGAAAAAAAAAAGGAAAAAGAAAGGAGAAAGGAAAAAGGAAGAAAGAAGAAAAGAAACAGAAAATAAGAAATCATGTTCCTTATTTATTTATTAAAGAAAACTTTTTTCTTTATATCTCATTAAAGATATACTTACTGATGAGGGCTGAAGACTATATCAACAAAATTGTGTGTTAATTAATGCCATCAAGTATATGAAAAAGGGATTAAATTGTCGAAATTTAGAATGCTAATGACTTTTTCCAAATTTATGAACAATGAATTTGTATTTAATTGTTTTTCTCTTTTAAAAATCTGGTACGCCTTTCAGATCATAGAGACTGGCGAATTAATGTTGCCCATTTTCATACAGCAGCACTATGTCACACATATACACAAGATCTCATCAAAGTTGAAAAGGAGGGATTGGAAAGAAGTCAGGTCTTTCTTACCCTTTAGAGGGAGCAGAGTCAAAACGCAAGAAAGGATGACTGACATCGTGCTTGTCCCCATGGTAACATATACTGCACAAATCAAAGTCATGGCATTTTAGGCATCGCCAGCGCATCCCTTGGATCTCTTGTTTTTGGCAGGCATCGCAGATAATATTTGGATGTTTCACACCTGCAAAAAAATAGATAAATAAAAGATATCAATAAACAAGAAAAAAGAAATCATTTCATACTATTTGTTATTTATTAAATAAAAGATGCTTCATATATATATATATATATATATATATATATACACACACACACACCCACAGAGGGTGTGATGGGTAAATTGACAACATTTTATATCTTTAATTTTGCGCATCTGTGTTGTTTGTTTTAGATTTTGTCAAAATTTGGAAACAGCATGTTATACTGCTTGACATTCACACAAGAATCTCCAATATGAACATTTCAGAGTGTTTGGGTGTCAATCTTATGACAGTGTAGAAGCTTCAGAAAGAGTTGAATGAGCCCAATGGTGATTACGAGGGTGTTTAGCGTGATCACTAGTGATGATGATGTTATGTCACCATTCATCTTTCCACACAGGGCCTCAGACTCAACACGAAGCCCTATGTCAAAAAGGTGGCTGCTGGAAGACCTTATGTTTGGCAACAGACTCTGCACCATGCCACACAAGCAGGAGAACTGAGTCAAGGCTGTCAGAAATTTCTGTGACCACATCACCTCTTACATCTGGTCACCTAACTCTCCTTACTGCAACACCCTTGATTATTATGTGTGGGGGCATGGTTGAATGACAGAGTAAAAAAACTCCTTATAAGATCAAAGATGAACTGAAGGCAAGGATTACAGCAGCATTCATAAACAAGGAGACCATCCAGTAGAGTTGCAGGAGATTCCAAAGTTGTCTGGTAAGCATGGTTGAAGCCAATGGCAATTTTTTTTTTTTAATAAATTTACTTTTTAATATTACAAGTTACATTTGTTTTTGGGAAATATATCTGTTAAAATGAGATGTCAGTGTTATTTTGATTTTGGCATAATTGAGGCCACAATTTATCTATCATACCCTGTGTGTGTATATATATATATATATATATATATATATATATATATATATATATATATATATATATATATATACATATACACACAGTTAGTTAGTTGCATTGATGTGAGTTTGTGACCCTGGGTTAGCTCTATCACTGATATTGAGAGCTTTCCAATAATTACTGCATATTATATATATATATAAAATTTTTCTCTTAGTTTTTGATTTCATACAAAACATTTAATGACACATTGAAATCCAAGAACAGTGATTCTCAACAAGGAGTCAAGTATCTGATATGGGAGGCATTTCAATACGATAAGTCACAATAAAAACTGAAAAAAATTACTAGATGACAATTTGAAATGGGGAGGGAATTGAGGAAATCTGGCATCAGAAGAGGAAGAATGTAATTTCAAACTGAGAATTATTGCTAGAAAACAATAAGCACTCCAAAATTATTTTTTCCTGTAGACTGTATAAAGCTTTTGTTATTCACTTATATAGTCATCTTCTCATTACTGCATAATTTTTATACACTGTATATGGAAGAAAATTTCTTTCAAGGATTGAACTTGAAAGCTTGTTAAACAAAACATCCTACACCTCTCGGCAATAAGAACAATTGATAATGATGGTGACCATCTTTTGTTTATAACCCTAACTCACATGATACCCCATCGCAATCTTTCCACCTTAGCCGGAACTTACAATAAGAATGCTTATTTTTTTTTTTTAACTAGTCAGCTGTAGTATTGCTTTAAATTATATCACACTTACATATATATAAAGAAATATACATAATATCTTACATTAATTGCACAACTGAGTTTCATGCCAAAGCAATTTTCAAGTGCTGGCATTATAATAATTCCAACACTTGAAAATTGCTTTGGCATGAAACTCGGAGTTGTACAATTAATGTAAGATATTATGTATATTTCTTTATATATATATTAAATAGCTCTGTTATTTAACATTGAGCACTGTTTTTTCTTACATTATAGAATATTTATATGTATTTGTATATGATTGCTTGCTCATATACCTACCTATATTTACACATTCAGTTATATATATATATATATATATATATATATTGTATTCTTTTTCATGCACATATATGTAGGAATTTTTTTTAAGTATCTTTCAATACAAATAGCAAAAATAAAAAAAATAAAAAGGTTAAATTTTGCTTTTTCAGTTAAATCAGAATATTTCTGTAAATTTTATTTGAAGTTAATCCTCTGTGCAGGTTGTATAATGGTTATTAACATGAAAAGTGGACCTGGCAAGCTGAGTTCAAATTCTAGTCTTGTCTGTTTGCATTCATTTCTGCACTAATGCCCTTGGGAAATCTATCCTGGAGAGAAGGAGTGTCTAAGAAAAGCATGATTCAAAATTCCAAATCATGAGCAAGCAACATAACCACCCCACTATCTTTCCCAAAAAGTCCTTGTAATAAAAAAGTCTTGATAATAAAGAAATCTGTGAAGAACCATGATCACCTTCATCCAAATTAGACATGGATTCATTTACATTCAAAGTCAGTTGACCATACATCTGTCTTATGAAATAAGGATAACCTAATAAAGTTTGGAACCGAGAGACGAGGGCGGTAGAATATATTTTTGTTGATAGTTTTGTGTATTTGAGACAAATAGGTAAAAATAAACAGGATTCTGTATACAGACTTAAATTTGCAAAAGTCAATAGAATATACTCAATTGAAATAAGTTGAATCATGAGATGAGATAATCAGGAATGGAAATTCCAACTATTGGTACCAAAAGACCTTAACCTTTTTCATTCTGTATGTGACTTCATTTGCTGTACAAAAAGTTTATCCTACCACTGAAGGTGACTGATCCCTGAACTATAGTGTACTTGAATTTCATAGTTATGTTGTCATATCCTGCCATGGCAACAGAAAACAATTTAACAATAAGGATACTGCAATTGAGAGGTTTTGAAAAAAAAAAAAAATGCAAGAATGAAAGGGAAGTAATATTTATAATGTAGGGTGCTAAAGGTTAAATAATCAACAAAGAGAAAAAAAAAAACAAAACAAAAAAAAAAAAGATCTAAGAAACATTGTTCTCCCAAAATGTCCAGCCAATAGAAGAAATGTCCACAAGTTGTAGTCAGAGCAAATGAAAAAGAATGAATCGAGGAAAATAAAGAAAGTAAAAAAGAACTAAAAAGATTCACAAAAAGAAAACATTGTAATTGTAAAAAGAGAATTCAAAAGACAAATATTGTTTCATTGGTTAGGTATTTGTACACTTAGATGCTTAAATGTATTCAATGTATGTATGTCATTGTGTATGCATTTCTGTATAGTATATCTATGGAGGAACACTACACATAAGAAAGCGTGTTGCTGCCTACACAGGTGAGGTGTGTGTATGTATTTCTATATTCACAGGTGTGCTATACAGTTAAGCTTTTGTGTAAAAGGTTTAATTTTTTTATCTACGCAGATGTAACACTCACATATACCCATGTATGATTCTCTCTGTACATATACATGTGTGTGCGTGAAAGACACAGAGAGAGAGAGAGAGAGAGGCGGGGTATAAAAGACAGGGTTTGCTAGAGGGAGGAGCTCTGGACACAGAAGATAATCAAAGACCATCTTTAATGATTGTGCTTTTCAAAGGAGACATGAAAGTATGGCTGCAAGGAGATTCCATTTCCAAAGAAATAAATGGATTCCCATGTAGAACCCAAATCGTTGCCTTAGTAATTGGTTGCCATAGCCAATCCTTTTGACAGTGGGGACAGTAGCAGCAGCAGAGACATATCCATCAACACCCCCCCTCCACCTCCAAGAGTTAACATAGCACACAGAGATGGTGACAACCATCTATGCAATCACTTTGCACACATGCAACAAGTTTATGTAGCAATCTTCACAAGGAAATAATAGAAACCTGGTGATGAGGAAGGATTCAAATATTTTGTAGATTTTAATAAAGATGTTATTTGAATTTTATTTGAATTGAAAGAGAATTCAATTTTTAGCATTTTTTTTAAAGAAGTTAAACATATTTAATGACAGTATCTTATTTTCATTTTCATATCAACCAATTTAAGTGTTGGAGATGAGAAGATTGGACCACAGCCAGAAGCTGACTGTTTTTTTTATTCACTTGAGTAATTATTTACACCAATTTTCAACCATTTTCTTTCATTTCTTTTTGTCTAATTTCATGTGTATTTTACATTTGCTTAATTAAAAAAAAAAAAATCAATACTGTTAAATATGATTAAAAAAGTGTTTCCAGTGTATGGTATAATCCAAGTACTGGAATAATTTTGTTTATTAATAGATTTCTTTCACATGCTTCCTGTTTTCATTTTCTGTGTTAAATTAGGAGAGAAAAGGAAAGCAAAGAGGAGAAGACTGTTTATGGCAATCAATTGATCAAAGAATTACCCTCAGGACAGATATAAATTACCACACACAAACGCACACACATGTAAGAGTTGCCATTGTATAAACACAAACACACAAAGAGAAAGTGAAGGAAAGTAAAGTTAAAACATACTCATTTTTCCAAGATGCCACATTGTACGAATCAGTATCAAATTATATATATGTATATACGATGATGATGACGATTTTGGGAAAGTGATATTTTTTAGAAAGAAAATTAAACACTTTGACCACCAAAAGGTTAAGGTGGGGTGATTACAAAAAGATTTCATAACCATAAAGGTGGAAATCTATTCTGTAAAGCCCACAGACAACTTTTACAAATCACACAAAGTATAGCATCATGTTTAATAAACAGAAAAAATAAAATTTTACAATTATTTACATACTAATTAAATCAAACTTCATGCAAAACTAACAGGTGTTTTACTCTAAAAGTTGTTAATCTTAAATAATTCATTTAGACCCAGATTACACAGGCATAAATTCATTATTTATATGTGGACTATCCTCATCTTTGTTGTTGTTATCACAATGTTTCAGCCATTGTGCCTTCAGCCTTCATTAGTTGTATGTCAACTGGAATAATACACCTGATTAAAGGTGTATTTCATCAAGTTTATGTTCACTGAATCATACACCTGATGAAGGCTGAAGAGAAAAGAAGACAAAAGATTGTAATAACAATAAAGTTCAGGACAACAGTTTGTATGTAAATAAGGTAAATAATGATAACTTCTCATCTCAGAAATTCAGGCATGAACTCATATTGATCACAGACTAATACTAATTGTTTTGTTTTTTTTCTAATGCCTTAGGTTTCTTTCTTTTTTTAATGGATAACAGTGATGAAAATATCGGACCATGTAGCTCTTGTCAAAACAAGGAGGTTGTTACCTCTAGCTGACAGGTGGCAAGTATGTACAAGATGAACTATATACAAACACACCTATATTTGTTTTGTTGTTTTAATATATGCAGGATAAATACTGATCATTTTTTAACACACACCTTTATGTAAAAAGTCAGCAAGGATCTAAGTGAGATTAAAGATTAATAATGACACCAGGCAATGCTGGTTACCTTGCTGATAGAGATAACAAACATTGCACATCATAATAATGTACAATAGCATACCAAACAAAAATAAGTAGATCTAAGAACTTGTGTTATGCACACACAGCATGATTACATGCATATGAAACTGGACACACAGATAATACAAAATTACACACACACACTCACGCATGTATAATACAATTATATAAATTAGATATAAACAATAAATAGAATACACATACACAAGGTATGTTTATATACAGAAATTAGAAACAGATATATTTACATTACATGATTAAAATAAAAAAATTATATATATATATATATATATATATATATATATATATATATATAGACGAAATTACTATGTAGACACACAAATTGTTATTGATAAAGATTACTGAATATACACATACAAAAGTTACACAACATATATTACTGTGCATATCGAATCTCTTGTAATTGTTTGTAGAAGAAAAAGAGATTAGAATTTGTCTTCATTGACAATAAACTGCTGATGATTGTCAGAGATTCTGGTAAGCAAAGCAGACAAAGAGTCTCATTACGGAAAAAATCAGAGAACCGTGAAGGAAGAAGACAAATGAGGAAGATATGAGAATTCTGGTCAAGCGACCAACAGAAGATTCAGTGGTCGATGTAGATACACTTGACCGAGTGAACAGAAAAAATATCCTGCATCAAGCCCAAACATAACATCACAATTAGTAGAATAAATAACACTACTACAATCAGTATCATTGATGATAATAATATCATTATACTACTATTACCTAAACACATTGTAAACACTGTTTTATAGGGTGTGGCAGAAATACCACCCACATAATGGTAAGACATTACTGGCAACGATGTCTTCATCTAACTAATGTCTTACTATTATGTGGGAGGTATTTCTGCCACACCATGTATGATATAAAATACAATATGACTACATATATTATATATAAAATTAAATTTCCAGTGAATATTGGCTGACCACAACAGCTTTCTCCAGTATGCATGCATATATATATATATATGAGAGAGAGAGAGTTTTAAGGGAGGATTTATTTATGAGTAAAAGTGCTCAATATCAGAGATAGAGCATATGTAAATATAAAAGTGGACACTGAGATCAACATTGAACAGAGACAGTCTGTTTCATACTTGAAGGCAATCTTCAGGCCATGTGTGTTGTGTTTTGGCTTGACTAATTATAAAATGCCATACCATCGTGCATAATGCTAGCATAGTTTATTGTATTATCCTAATGGTTATTGGGTAGGTGGTAATGGTTATGATACAAATTATCCTAGAGGCTAGTGAGTAGAAATAATTGTGAATCCAAATGCAGTTATTTGTAGCTATTTATTAGTGTTGTTTTTTTTAACTTTTTACTCATTATTTATTATTGATTACTGTTATGGTAATTTACCCACACATGCATGGGTTTTTCCAGCTATAAATAGGAGCAGCTACTGCCTTTTCGAGAATGAAGTTTCCAGCAGTCAGCTCTGACAGTTGGACCGAACATTCTTGCTGTAACACTCTCGTTTGTATATGTTTGTATTACTGTTTCTGTTATATATTTGTTTAACTCAGTTACTCTCTTGTGTCTTTATTTCTGGCCCTAAAAATGCCACAACAATTACTTAATTATTTGTTGTTATTTATTATTATATTTACTTGTGTTTATGCGTGTATTTGTAGTTAGTTAATCTGTTCATTATTTACTTAATTTATTTAGATTTTTTATTTATTTATTATTTTTGCAGGTGGTTGGTTATCTTGTTTAGTTTAAACAATCTTACCTTATGTGCATTGTATAGAGTGTATATATTTGCATTTTTCATGATGGTATTTTATAAAGTACTTGTTTTTAGTTTTGGGTTTTTAAATAACATAGTAAAAATGTGTTTTTGTCTTTGCTTTTTAAGATCATTTATTTAGTAATTTTTTTGGTCTGGGAAGGTAATTATAACTATTTTCTCCTCCAGACAAAGTTTACAGTTTTTAGATGCAGTTTTCCTTATTTCCTATGATATTTTTGGTGAACTTTATTACTCAATCTCTCACTCAAATAGTAGACTTCCTCATGTATTTCCCCAATAATTCTGATGGACTACTCAATATCTTCCTTTCTACCTCCTTGAACTTGTGTCATGCTCTGCAGCTGTCCTCTTAGCAACTCTGGTCATACAGTAGTGTCTATAGATATCTCTTTTCACTCTCCCATCATGATTTTCATCATGACACTCTTTTGGATGTATATTTTTTTTTAATTGAGAAATGTGCCAATGAGGTCTCTTTCTGGATGTAAGCTAGCATTAAAGGTTTCATGCCAGCATCAAAAAATATGAAGTGAAACTATAATTTTCTCCCTGATTCTCATCTGCCTGTTAGCCTATAGGAATCACTTCTTCCAGCTATACTAGAGTGACAGATTTGATTGTAACAGAAGTCTCTTTGTCATTTTGCTTGTAATAAGTGCAAGCATCTCCTCAAAGAAGCAAAGTCACTATTAACTGATAGAATGAGACACTGTATAACCTCTCACAAGTTTGGTTCTAGAGATTACTGGCAGTTCTGCAAAAGTGTGCTGAACAAAATTAAATCCCCAGTCCCTCCTCTATTCAATCAATTTGAAGTATTGACATCTACTGCAAATAAAGCATAGTGCTAACTCCACCCTTAATTCATCTCTAGTATGTTTTCTTCCTAGGACGGAGACTTTACTGAGTGATATGAGCATAACTCTGTCCTTAGTTTCTGCTAGCATTTTAAACTAGATCACTACAAGGCATGCAGATTTGACAGTACCCTCACAAACATCCTAAAGAAATTTTCTTCTGAACTGGCTCCTGTTCTCTCAAAAATTTACAACAAATGCCTTGTTGTTCCTTGTTTTCCAGCTTGTTAGAAGTCCTCTGTAGTTCCTGTTTCTAAAAACTTGGGGGAATCCTCTAACCCAACATTATCACCCTATAGTCTCTTACCTCTTTTTGGCAAAATACTCAAGGCCCTAATCAACACCAAATTCAATTGGTTAAACATCTTACTTTACATAGCCTCCTTTTGGACAAACAATATGGCTTCTGTTTCACTATGTCTGCTGCTGATGTGTTAACAGCTATTAC